AAACGAACGACGCGACGCGCGCGACGCGACGCGCGCGCCGCCGTTCGTCGTACGGTAGGAGGGACGGACGACGACGGACGGGCGGCGCACCACCACACACTCTCTCTCTTCTCTCTCTCTCTCTCTCTCTCTCTCTCTCTCTCTCTCTCTCTCTCTCTGCCTGCCCGCCTGCTCGCCTTTCCGCTGCTCTGTACACACGCTCGCTTGCACGCATCGCTCTGCACTCTGGACGCTCGATCTCTGTCTGGATCCCTGCTTGCTTGCTTCGGCGCTGCCCATGGCCTAAAGACCGCCCCGTGGGTCAGACAGCTCAAAGTGGCGCCAGACGTCGTATGCGCCCGGCCGATCAAGGGGCTTGTGCAGCAGCGTCACCCGGTCCACCCTACACACGATGCCCTTGGTCGTCGAGCCGGCGACATCCGCGTCCTGTCCCTCGTCTGATCCGTGGCGCAGCACTTCGTGCGACAGCTCAAACAGCCTCGTTCTCTCCGCGTCGTCCTTGGCCTGCCCCACGCTAATATGCGGCTTGAACGAGGAACGGCTGCGGCCCCGAGAGCCACCTGCCTGGCCGCCTCTGGATCGGCCCTGGTGCTGCCCACGCTTGCCCTTTGCTTGGCCTCGTGCCCTCCTCTCACCTCGATCCGCCTGTGTCACGGGAAGTAGGCAGGCGTGCAGGTCTTGCTGCAGACGCAGGATCGTCTCGTGGCCCTCGACCATGGTGACGGACGACCCTCGCGCGAGACCCATTGCCTGGAAGTCGCGCTCGAGCTCGCCGACAACCTCGTCTTCGCCAGGGGTTGCTGCCGACGGCTGCAGCCGGGTGCGGCCAGGCCGGAGGTGGATGTTGGTGTAGGCCCTCAGCTTGAAGCTCGACACCTGGTCGACTAGGAGGTGATGCTGCTCGTGCTGCCTGCACGCCGTCTCGAGCCGAGATGACAGCTCCGTGAGCGTCTTCGAGATGCCGTCGTCGTCGTTGGCGCTTGCGTCGTCCGGCTCCTGCGCCTTTCCGGCCTCGTCGACGCTCGTGAGGAATTGCTCGTTGCCAGAGATGAAGAAGGGTGGGATGAGGGTGATGTGCGGCAGCCATCTGTCGAAGGCCTGATCGTGGACCCTTCGCACCTCTTGCAGGCGGTCGAATCGAGCTCGGTCCCTGCCAGACGCCGGCTCGACGAGCAGGGCGACGACGACGACGTGGTCCTGTCGCTGGTCACTGGGACCACCCGGTGTCCTAGGGGCGATGCTCTGGTTGTTCGAGGTAGTGCTTGGTTCTGGGGACTGAGCGGCTGACGCCATGGCCGAACTGGTCCTGCTCGCGGCTTGGGCAGGGACGAATGGGCGCAAGAAGTCGAGGATGGCGTAGTCCAGCTGGGCTCGTGGGTCGGACCAAGAGCTGGCATGGAGCTATGGTGGATCAGGGTGTGCGGAGCGTCGAAGATAATTCGACATGCTGCACCGGTCGCTGACGAGAGGCAGTGGTAAGTGGTGGTGGTCGGGCCAAGGGGAGATGAGGCAGGTGGTGGTTGAGAGAGAAGGGCACGACGCTCGCCTGCGCCTGCGCCTGCTCCGCGTGTGGAGGATGCTGCCTGCTTGGCCTGGCCTGCAGATGCACCCCCACGCCAAGAAGCGCTCAAGGGCAGCATGCATCCACGGGCGGACGAGCCAACCAGCGGGTCAGCGCGGGGGTTGGCTTTTGCCCCAGGGGGGGCCACCTGTCCGCGCTTGCTTCCCCGCACTCGTGTACTCACCCTCGCCCTGCCTCCCATCGTCCATCTCGAACGCCGCCACTCTACACTCGCACCAGCCCCAGCTCGAGCAGAGTCACCACCATGTCGGCGCCCAAGATCCTCCTGTGCAGGCGCATGCCCACCGAGCTGCTCCAACAGGCCGAGCAAGCAGGCAAGGTCCAGATCATCGCCCGGCCTCAGGAGGCAGACGAGGGGCCCGCTCCCAGAGACTGGCTGCTCGAGAACCTCAAGGGCGTCGCCGGAGCCATCATCATGCTCAGCGAAAAGGTGAGCAGGCCGAAGCGGCCAGAAGCGAGGAGGAGGGCCACTTCGATGCTGACGCCCCTCGCCCCTGCCTTCGCCGCCGCTGTGCTGTCGCTGCCGATCCAGGTCGATGACGAGTTCCTCGACGCCGCTGGACCTTCGCTCAAGGTCATCTCCACCATGAGCGTCGGCTACGACCACATCGACGTCGCCGCCGTCAAGAAGCGGGGTGTCAGGATCGGTAACAGTGAGTAGCAGCGCAGCACGTCGCCGAGGAGACCGATTTGCTTACCTCGCCATCGCCGTGCTCGCCGCTCCCCCTCTCCCTCTTCAAAATGCTCGCATCTGCGACCGGCAGCGCCCCATGTCCTCGATCAAGCCGTCGCCGAGCTCACGCTGACCTTGGCGCTGATGACGACGCGGCAGATCGCCCACGCTACCCGCGTCGTGAGGGAGGGCGAGTGGTCAAAGAACCCCTGGACGCCCCTCAGCTTCTGCGGCCCTTCGCTCCAGGGCAAGACGATCGGCTTCGTCGGCTTCGGCAACAGTGAGTGCCGCCGCCCAGTCGCCGGAATCCGATCCTGCGTGGCCCCCTGCGAGGTCGATGTCCCGGCAGCGTCGCTGACCTTGCTCACCCCGTCGTCGACGTCGGCCCCCTGCCAGTCTCGCAAAGCCTCGCCCACCTCCTGGTGCCGTTCAGGCCAGCTCGGCTGCTCTACACAACGTCCAAGCCCAAGCCCTTCGACCTCGGGCATCCCGATTTTGCACCGCTCAAGCGCGGCAACTTCCCAATCGACCGGATCGAGGTGACCAACCAGCCCGATGCGCTCGAGCTGGCCGCCCAGTCCGACGTCGTCTTTGTGCTGGCCAGCCTCAACCCGTCCACGAAGCACATGGTCAACGACCAGTTCCTCTCTAGGATGAAGTGAGTAGGCGTGCCATGGCTGGCTGGCTGGCTGGCTGCTGGGAACGACCGCTGACCCCGAGGCCCGACTCTGTCGCCCGACTGCCGCTCCTGATCTGCAGGTCGACCGCCTACATCATCAATGCGTCCCGCGGCCCGCTCATCGACACCGAGGCGCTGGCCCGTGCCATCTCGAACGGCCAGATTGCCGGTGCTGGTCTAGATGTGCTGGAGAACGAGCCGAGTGAGTGCCGCGATGTCGCGCTGCCGCAGCTTCGGACGCCCGTCGAGACCGACCAAAGCATCGCCACGCTGACGCCCCCCGCGGCTATGAAACTGCCCGCCTCCAGACATCCCGGCCACTCACCCGCTGCTTCAGCCCGACTGCGCCGATCGCGTCGTGCTGCTGCCCCATATCGGAAGCGCCACCAACGAGGCGCGGGTCGCCATGGCCGACCTCACCGTCAACAACCTGCTCGGCGCCCTCGGTCTGCGGGCCGAGGCGGGCAAGGAGAATGAAATGGACGCCGAGGTGTAGGTGGGCGATACGGCGTGGAAAGGTGTCGGCACGTTGATCGGTGCTATGAGGTGCGCGGCTTAGCGTCGCTAGATGTCGTGCAGATAGACGTCGTTTTCCAAGCGAGCTGCTTCCCTCGAAGCGCAAGATGGCCATGAAATCCCCCTCGCTTGCCTAAAAAGGGCTGCGGGCTGCGTTACTGGAGGATGAGCAGCGTGGCTGTCGTCCTGTGTGCGGCATCGGAGCATCGGATCAGCGTCATGCAACGGCGGGATGGCCGTGTGCCGGGACTGTATGCCTCGGTCCGGCTCCGGCAGGTCGCGCTCTCGACGGCAGAGCAGCGGCGACGCGATCAGAGAGGTGATGTCGAGGTGGGTGTCGGTGCGAGATGCCTAGATGGCGGTCGTGATGGAAGCAGCGGCAAGTGGCGGCCAGACGAGCCGCTTGCCGGCCTCTTTGTGGGGCGCCCGAAAAAGGCCACGTCGGCCGGGTGGGGCAGGTCGAGGCGAAAAAATGAAGACGTGCACCAATACAGGAAGGAGAGCAGCAGGCGGAACCACGCAGTTGAATTCAGCAGGCGAGCGCTTGTATTCAGCTCTGCCTGGACCAGGCTCGAGCCTTCGAAGCCCCGGATGCGGGCCCTGCCCCCGCTTCTCCAGGCTTCCGCGTCAGAGTCTGTCCGGAGGCACGCACGGCCGTAACGTAGGCTTGCCAGCGAAGGCCTGCACGTGCGCGACAGCTTGGCGGGCGGTGGTGGTCGCGTGGAGAGGCCGGAGGAGATGGTACGCCAGCCGTACGCCCGGTGAGCGCAAGCAAGAGAGCACACACGCGCGCGTGCGTTCACGAGTGCGTGGCCAGCTAGCAGAACACGGCTCGAGGCCGGCGGCGGGATCCCAGGCAGGCAGGCGGGCAGGTAGGAGGATCGGGACAGGCCGAGGGGCGCGGAAGCAGCCGACGCAGATGCCACGCGAGCCCTCACTCAAACGTACGGGCAGATCGAGCAGATCGACGCGACGAGTTCGACGCACCTTCGGGAAGTCACAGCGCGAGCCTGCTTATTGCTGCCTGCCCGTTCTTGGCCGGCTCGGAATGCCCAGCCTGACGGCCGCCTGGGGTCGCGATCGGGGTCGGCGTCCCGAACGCTGTCGCCGGCGAAGAAGCAGAAAAACAGAAGCAAGAGGCCGGCGGCTTTCCCGGTGGTCGGCTGCTGGTCAGAGGCAAAAAGAAGGCACGCAGGCAAACAGGCCGGCAGACACGACGCCCTGCACGCCAAACAGCGCCGGCCCGACGCTGTCATCCGGCAATCAAATAATCTAGGCTGCTTGCGTGTCTCTCGCGTGTCCCGAGGACCGATGCATATGGGCCCGTCTGCTGCTCTGGAAAGGCGAGGGTGGTCAGCGAGCTCTACATGGTGGTGCGGGAACCAGTCGCAATCTCGTCAAGTCTGTTTCTGGGCCTGTGGAAGGGGGCGCGAGAAATGGTGGGTTTTACCCTCGTCCCGTCGTCCCGCCGCCCCTCTTTGGCCGATCTCGGCGTCCGTATCTGCACAAGCTCGTGAACCTTGGATGGAGATGGCTATGCCGCGTTACTTTGACTGAGAGGAAGAAAGGTGAAGACCGAAACGCTACTCGTACAGGATATTGACAATGACGGCTTGGCTGGTGATGCACGCGGTACAGCGGGGCTCGACGAGGATCGTCTGCGTCTCGTCGATGAGGATCGCCGGACCTTGGATCGCCCGACCCGGTCGGCAGGATCGCAGAGGCACGATGGGCGTCTCGAGCCTCCCGTGCTCGTCAAAGTAGACTTTGCGTGTCGTCTCGACCTCCTCCTCCTCCTTCTCGCCCTCCTGATTCGCCCCATCGCTAGGTCTCGCGGTCGACGCCGACTTCGACGAAGCCGAGCGAGAACCAGACTCAAACAGACGCCGGTACTCGGCCAGCGTGCTCTCGCCGAGCGCGTCAAAGCTCTTGCCCACCCCGCGCACGCGCACGTCGTCGACGACAATGTCCTTGCCCTCGAGCACGAAGCCAAACTCGGTGCGGTACTTTTCCACAAACACCCGCTCAAACTCCCAGCTGCCGTCCTGCGGCTCGAGCGTCATGAGGGCCGTATCTGTGCCGTCGTAGCGCAGGTTGAGGAGCACCTCGAGGCGGATCCGCGCGTCCTCGAAGCCCTGCTGCCGCAGCTCGCCGTGCACCTTTTCCTTGAGCGCCTCGACCCGCTTCCGGATGCGCTGGCCCGACGACGAGCCGGGTCCGGACCACACCTCGGACGACGGCTCCTGCTCCTCAAAGACGCGGTCCGCCAGCGCCATGCCGTAGGCCGAGAGGATGGACGAGTAGCGGTGCACGATGACGGTGCGGATGCCCAGGCTGCGCGCCAGCGAGGCGGCGTGCTGGCCGCCGGCACCGCCAAAGCAGGCGAGGATGTGCTTCGAGGCAGAGTAGCCGCGCGCCTCGGTCAGCGACCGAATCGGCCGGCACATGGTCTCGTTGGCGATGCGGATGAAGCCCTGGGCGACCTGGTCGACGCTCAGCTGCTGGCCGGTCTCGGCGTTGATCTGCCGCGTAAGCTCCTCAAACGCGCGCGTGCTTCCCTCGACGTCGAGGCCCTGGTCCTCGTTGGGTCCAAAGATCTTTGGGAACATCTCGACCGCCAGCCTGCCGGTGACGAGGTTAGCGTCGGTGATGGCGAGCGGGCCGCCTTTGCGGTAGCACGTGGGTCCCGGATGCGCGGATGCCGACTCTGGCCCGACGGCGAAGAGGCCGTTGCGGAAAAAGAGGCGCGAGGAGCCGCCCGAGGCGACGGTGTTGACGTCGAGCTGCGGGCTCTGGATCGTGATGCCGTCGAGCACCGTCTCAAACACCTGCTCGTAGGCGCCGGCGTAGCGCGAGACGTCCGTCGAGGTGCCGCCCATGTCGAGGCCAATGATGGGTCTCCCGTCTTGGGAGTCGTACGAGGTGAGGGCCATGCCGACGACGCCGCCGGCGGGGCCCGAGATGATCGACTTGAGGCCGCTGAAGTGGTCGACCGAGGTGAGGCCGCCGTCGGACATCATGAACTCGACCTTGGTGCCGGCGCTGCCGTCGCGGAGGCTGTCGTCGAAGCCGGAAAAGAAGCTGTCGATGTAGGCCTGGAGAACGGGGGTGAGGTAGGCGTCTGCGGTCGACGAGGTGGCGCGGGGCACCATCTTGATCATGGGCATCAGCTCTGCGCTGCAGCTGACGGTGGTGTAGCCGATCTCCTTTGCGATGCGCTTGACGATCTGCTCGTGTTGGGGGAAGGTGTAGCTGTGGATGAAGACGACGGCGAGCGAGCGGTAGCCGTGATCGTGGTAGAGGGCGCTGAGCTGCCTCTGGATCAGCTCCTCGTCCGGGCGCTTGAGGATGGCGACGGCCTCGCCCGAGACGCCGCGGACGATCTCGGCATCGGCGGTGGCGTTGCCGTGGGCATCGTAGGCGCGGGGCGGCAGGTCGGTGCCGCTGTAGGGGCGTTGGATGGAATGGCGATGGTGTTGGTCGTCACCGTCACTGTCGCCGCGCGGCGGCTGCTCTGCAAACTGGACCGCGTTCTGCCTTGCGTTTGGGTCCGACGTGTACCCGACGAGGGTGACGCGCTCGTCGACCTCGAGGACGCCCGAGTAGAGGACCTCGGGTTTGCGGATGGCGAGGTCAAAGATGGCCGGCCTGGACTGGTTGCCGATCTGGACGAGGTCCTTGAAGCCCTTTGTGATTACGAGTGCGTGCCTCTCGCCCTTGCGCTCGAGGAGGGCGTTTGTGGCGACGGTGGTGGAGAGGCGGATGTAGTCGATGCGGGAGGTGTCGATCTTTTGGCCGCGCGGGATGGACTGTCCAAATGCGGCCTCGAGGATGCGGCGTACTCCCTCGCGGGGGGCGTCCTTGTAGTTTGCGGGGTCGTGGGAGAGGAGCTTGATGACAATGTCGCGCGCGGGCTGGTCGGGATGGGAGGAGGGGAGGCGTCCGAGGCAGTCGGTGAAGGTGCCGCCTCGATCGATTGCGATCTGCAGTCGCGGCTGCTGTGTCATGGCAGGCGAGCGATAAAGGGGGGGGAGGCCAGATGGACGGGTGATGATAGAGACGGGATATGTGGGAAGGATGGACGTGCTTGGATAGTCGGAGGCCCCGAGCAAAGAGGGCGACGAGGGGGCAAAGGCCCTTTCTTGACCAACTCTGGGCTGCGTCCACCGGCCAGAGGGCCGCTCAAGACGCCGACCAGGGTGGATTGCTGGCCAGGCGGCGAGACCAGCAGGGCAGGCATGGGGCCATCGGGGCCGGGGCTGAGGAGCTGCATCGGCCCAGCGCAGACAGGCGCCGCCTTTCAGCGTGATCGGCTCAAAGCCCTGGGGTTGGCAACATGAAAATGGGATTCTAGATGGAGATCAAGAAACGGAATCTCGAGCCAAGATGCAAGCCAGAGTGCCCGCGGGTGCCCGCGGGTGCCCCGTGCTCGTGCCAGCTGGCTGGGTTGGCCTGGCATGGCGGGCTCTCCCTTGAAGTGCGCAACGAGCCAGGCTCAAGCCAGGGCCAGGGCCAGGGCCACAGGCAACCTAACTTCGCCAACCGGCTGGCCACCGCGCATCCTCACTTCTTCCAGCCATCTGCCTTTGCGTTGCTCCCCCTCACCCATCCCTCCTCTGCCTCCGTGACGACGCCGCCGTTCCTCCATCTCAATCACCTATCCATCCCCTCCTGCCATCGCCGCGCTGGACTGCACCACCGCACCATCTCGCCTAGACATCCTTCGCCATCGCGCGCGCGCGCCCTCTCCCTCTCTCTCCACGCCTACTCGACCCCCTCCTGCGCCCCGCTTGCCTCGCTGCACATCCACACTCCCTCTGCCATTCATTCGGCCGCCCTGTCCTCGCTCCCTGATCATCGCCTGTACATCACCTCCTTCAAGTGACCGCCCGCCATGATCCGCGGACTGCAGGCCTACCTCCACGACTGCGGCCTCATCCAGTCGTGCCCGCTCACCGCCCTCAAGGACACCCGCCTCGGCATCGACGTATCCTACTACCTAAAGCAGATCCTATCCGCGCCATCTTCTTCGGAACCCCTCGTCGCGGCCCTCGGCGGCCAGCCCCTCGCCATCATCTCCCACATCGAGCGAGACCTCCGCTCCCTCGAACGCCTCGCCATCCGCCCCGTCTTTGTCCTCAACGGCCTCTCGCCCAACAAAAAGTCGAGGCCCTTCAGCTACGACGACCCAAGGCCAAAGCAGAGGCAGAGGGCATGGGAGGCCTACGAGAGCGGCAACGTCGACCTCGCAGATCAGATCCTCAGCACCAGCAACAGCCTCCACTACCCGGACCTCTACCGCGCCATCCTCCGCGCCTTCCGCCACCGCAACGTCGAGTTCCTCGTAGCACCTTACCTCGCATCCGGACAGGTGCGTCGCCCGCCGCGTCGCCACAGCCTCGCCTCGTTCGCTCGCCCAGCCCTGCTCACCTGCCCCTTTGCCCCCTCCCCGCCGTCTGACTCTCCTTCGCCCTGACGCCAGCTCGTCTCCCTAGAACGCCACTCCAAGGGCTACGTCCACTCCATGTACGGCTCCAGCGAGCTCCTCCTCTTTGACCGCGTCGACAAGGTCATCACCAACCTCAACCTCCAGGACGGCACCTTTCAATACGTCTCGAAGCAGTCGATCATGAACGAGCTCCGCTGCTCCGAGGAGCACTTCCTCGACGTCGGCCTCCTCGCCGGCTCCGACCTCTGCGCAACGTTTCCTGCCCTCCAGGACGGCTCCCTCGGACCGCCGCCACCCCACGCCGGCGCGCCGCCAAACATCCGGCAGCTCAGCGACCTCGTCAGGCAGTACCGCAACGGCTACACGCTCTGCATGGCCTTTGAGCAGCACCCGGGGGTGCTCAAGGCGGCCTACGTCGACCAGTTTTGCCGCGCAAGGACCATGGTCAAGTTCTGCCTGGTCCTGTCGGCCGAGGAGGGCCGGGTGCTGCCCCTGCCGCTGGCGACGCCACCACCGCCGCTGCCGGCCAACCCACATCATGTTGGCGTCAACGGGGCGGGCCCGGCAGCGGGGGGCGGGCCCATGAGCGCGGCGACGGGCGGCGCGCCCATCCTGACGGCGGCCGATGTGCCGGTCGACCTGCACGACGTCTTTTCCCACCGCCTTCCCGACGAGGTCTTTCTCCACCTCTCGCGCGGCTTGATTGGCATCAGCGTCGTGTCGAACCTGACGAGCGGCTTCGTCATCGAGGTGCCGCCGCTCGACAACGGCGAGACCGAGGACTACCGGCGCTACGTCCGCGAGAATCTGACCGAAACGCCGCAGAGCCCGCGGTGCGTGTCGATCGCGCTCGCGTGCTCTGCCCTCAACGGCTTCTGGAGCTCGCGCAAGACGTCGGCCGTCTACTATTTCCAGCCCTCGGTCGACCACGTCATCCCGCACGACTCGGCGGCGACGCTGCAGCTCATCAACCGCGTCAACCAGTGGAACGTCCCCGTGCGCTTTGTCGAAGAGGAGCTGCGCCGCCAGAACTCGAGCACCATCGACATTGCCCTGTGCCTGGGCGCGACCACGTCCGACGCCCTGGCCAACCGGACCAAGACGGGCCGCGTCCGACTCGCCGACGGCGCCCTGTCGCAGGTGGAGAAGAAGGACGAGATTGTGGCCAACGTCATCTGGCGCATGCTCGAGCTGCGCGGCTTCCTCAACCACGCCCACCTCCACACCCCCTACGCGCGCGCGTGCCACCTGGCGCTCAAGCGGGCCAGGCTCAACGACAAGCTGCAGGAGCCCCTCTACCTGGCCCTCGAGCTGATCCGCGGCGGCGCCCTGCACGCCAACTACTACGGCAACCGCGCCTACAGCGGCGGGCCGTCGTTTGGCACGCCCGACGAAAAGCAACACATGCTGCTGGTGATGCGCACGCTGAGCACGCTGCCGATGCAGTTCAAGCCGCAGAACTGGACGGCGCCGCTGAGCCGGGAGCTGCTCGTCTTCAACTCGTTCCTCAAGGCCACGGCGAGGGCGATGCGCAACCTGGTCGAGATGATCGCCATGTCGATGCTGTTGCGGGGCGACGCGAGGCGGTCGAGGGACGACTACCTCGACATCTCCCTCAGCCTGCCGTTCCAGCACGACACCAACACCGGGCTGGGCATCGTCGTCAAGTGCTACCTCGACGCGCTCCTCACCTTCCTCGGCGGTCCCGTCACCGACGCGCAGACCGACGACGAGGCCGTCAAGGACGCCAAGGCGAGCGTCATCGAGATGCTCGTCGAGACGTTTGGCAACGTCAAGGACATCAAGTACGAGCTGGCAAGAGGGTTCCGGTTCTGGGATGCGGTACGTCGTCGCCGCCGCCTCCTGCTGGCCAGCACTGGGACTCGTGTTGATCGATCGGTGCTGGTGCTGATGCTGATGCTGATCCTGAAACCTCCCCCATTCCTCTGTTTCGCCGGACCTGGCCGGCACGACAGCTGTTGGTGGCAGTCGGGACGCTCAAGACTGAAAACGCCATCTCGCCCGAGGTGGCGCAGCACTTTGAAGCGGCGGACAAGTGGCTGCAACCGATGGCAAAGATGGTCTGAACGACGGCGGGCGGACAGTCGAGGGCGGAACGGGGCAGCATCGGGCGCCGGCAAGGTCCGAGGACGGTGGCGAGCGTCGGTCCGGCTGTACGTGTGCTGTGCGATGGCGGAATCCGGCGCGAGGCGCGATGTCAGAAGAAGATGCAACGGCGAGGAGTGATGGGCTGCGGTGCCGCAAAGCGGGGATGTGATGTGGCCTCTCTGTGTGGCTGAAGTCGAGGCAAACATGTTGTTGAGACGGCCTCGACGCCCCCTTTTTGGGGCCCGGGTGGGCGCTGCTATGCTGTTGTGCCGGCATCGCCGGTGTCTCTGTCCTGGGTCGCCGTTGGACCGCCGTCGCCCGCACCACCAGCCTGGCCTGCCTCGTCGGGCCCATCCGTTCTCCAATTGCCGCCGCCTCCTGTTCCACTGTTGCCCTCGCCCTCGCCGTCGCCCTCGCCGCCCCTGTTGGAGGATCTCCAGTCTCCGCCGCTCTGAGCCTTTCTCCAGTCTCCGCCTCCCTCGACGACGAGGTCACCTTCGACCTCTTCCTGCATCTTGAGGCGGTCCTTCCAGCCGAGCTTGCTGAGCTTCTCCTCCTGGCGCTTTTTGCGGTTCTCGACCGAGAGCTGGTGGTGCAGCTCGCGCACGAGGGGCGGCGAGGCGTAGCGGAGGTGCATAAAGTTGCAGAAGCCGCCGCGGTTGCACTCGTCGGTCTCGTTTTGGCGGCAGCACGCCTCGCGGAAGTCGGTGACGGGGCTGAGTTCGGCAAAGAGCGGGCGGCCGTCGTACCAGCGCTGGTTGAGGGCGTCGACGGCGCGCTGCGCCTCTTCCTCCCACTCGTAGCGCGCGTACACGTTGCCGATGAGGTGGTCGCCGACGTTGTCGCACACGTGCATCTCGACGAGCTTGCCGTACCGCGCCAGCTCGACGAACCAGTCGGTGAAGAACTCGTCAAAGCCGCGCTGCAGCTCGTCGCGCGACTTGGCCGCCTTGACCTCGTCCGGGATCGACGGGTCGTGCAGCGGGTTGCGGTACACGTTCGAAATGAGGATCGTCTGCGAAAACGGAGGCTTGGTGTGCTTTCGCGAGCACCGCGGCCCGTGCCGACACGCGCCGATCTTGTAGTAGAACGAACAGTTGACCTTGTCCTGCTCCGTGCCGTAGATCGAGGCCAGGTAGGACGCCATCGTGGGCGAGGGTATGCGTCGTTGAGCGAGCGAGCCGGAGCGGAGTGTAGCAAGTGGCGTTCAGGTGACGGGCGACGAGCGGGCGTGAGGATGGAGGGCTAGGCGGCGAGGGCAAGAGTCAGGGCCAGGGCGAGAGCGAGGGAAAGCGAGAATGGGCGGGACCGCGAGTGAGGCAAGAGGACCGCAAGAGGGGATGCCAGAGTGCGCAGGGGGCGATGAAGACGAAGATGGCGAGCGATAGCGGCCGTGTGGAAGAGCCAAGGCTACAGACTCGAGAAGAAGAGGGAAGGGGCAGCGCAGAAGGCGAGGTGGCGGTGGTGGTGGTGGTGGTGGTGTGGAGAGAACCAGAGGGCCAGAGCAGCAGGTCAGTTTCCGAGGCGACCCTGAACGTTCCCGGAAAACGGGACTGGGGCGCGGAAGAAAGGCAGCGAAAACACCAAGCCCGCGCCAGGCCAGCCTGGGCCAGGACCCGCAACCGCAACCGCAACCCTTCGCCCGCTGGCCCTCTGCTATACCCACTCCTTATCTGCCCAACCACGCTCGCAGGCCTCAACAGGGTACGGGCAAGAGACGAGTTGAAATGTGGCACTCAGACCTCGACAGCGAGCCCCGGCAGGACTAGGCCAGGCTGTGGAGGAACACGACGTATGCGATACAGGCAGTCGAAGATGGAAGAAGATGGAAGAGAAAAGGAGTCTCCTCGTCACGGCGCGTTCTCGAGACGAAGGGCCCGCGTGTCCAACGATGTCGTGATGTCCTCGCTCGGCCTGTCCCTTCCCCTGGTGGTGGTGACGGACACCGTCACACCTGTGCGTGCCACCTTTGGCCTTCCTTGACACGAATCCCCTTGAGCTTGCGAGGTCCCAGTGATGAACAGTGCAAGGCGAGCAGGCTTCCCCTCGATCGCGAGGCCGGCGGATCGCCTGCAGGGCGCTGCGTCCCACGACGACGATGGTCACGATCATGCTGTGCCGTTGGATGCGGCCGCTCCACCCTCGCCGGCGCCCTTGCCCTTGTCGCCCTCGGTGTGCAGCCGGACGCAAAAGACGGTCGTGTCGCCGATGAAGACGATCTGGTTGCGGCTGGCGGCCACCGACTCCCACACCGGGTTGCGCTGCACAGGTGGCGGCCGCGGTGCCGGTTGCGAAAACGCGTAGGGCATCGCTGGAGGCCTTGCGGGAAAGCCGGGACGCGGCAGAGCCATCTGGCCCTGCGGTGTGCCCGGCTGCGACATCGGAACGCCGAATGGCGGGCCGGATCCCGGCGGCAGCTGCGGCGGGGGCGGGGGCGATGGTCGCCCGTTGTAAAGGGGCACGCCGCCAGGAGCACCAGGAGGCAGGCCCATCGGCGGGCCGGGACCACCACCAGCACCAGCAACAGGCCCGGGAAATCCGGGTCGAACGCCAGGGAAGGCTCCATACGGGGGCTGCATCGGCTGGATGGGCCTACCGTACGGACCGACAATCATGCTGCCAAACGGCGGCGGCGGCGGCGGATGCAGGGCGGCAGCGGCGGCGGCGGCAGCCATGGCCGAGGCGTTCTGCTGGCTCAGCGTGGGTGCCGGCGGGGGTATGTCGGCGAACAGGCACCGCAGGTTGACCCCGGTGATGACCTGGTGCAGCGCCCCCGTCTCGACGTGGCGGACCTCGACAAAGTTGGGCTCAAACGCCAGCACATAGGGGTGGTGGTAGGCGAACGAGGTCGGGTTGCCCTCCCAGTGGATGATCCAGTTGCCCTTGGCGCGCCATCCGTTCTTGTTGACGTAAAAGGCGAACTCGTCGTAGCACAGCAGGAACTCGCCCGTGATGCGGTAGATGGCGATCGGCTTGACGGTTTCCTTGCGGTGCACAAAGTCGAGCGACGAGTCGGCCGGGTCGAGCAGGCCCTGGGTGTCGAGCGTCTCGAGGTCGACGATCTCGAAGCCCTTTGTGCAGCCGACGCAGAGCTTCGACTTGAGGAAGTGGATCGAGCTCGACTCGGTCGGGATGTAGAACTCCTTGAAGACGCGCAGCGACTCCTGCCCGCCCTGCAGCAGCTTGCGGAACGTGGGCTGCTTCTTGCCCCGCACGTTCTGCTCGATCGGCTCCAGCGTCTTGATCGTCGACGAGAGCGAGCTCGACTTGACGACGCAGACCAGCGTGCGGTTGAGGCAGATGCCCGCGCGGAAGAAGGACGTGTGCGACGAGATCCGCCGGCCGCGCTTGAGGGAGCCCATCGGGTCCGATGGGTCGAGCGCATCGAGGGTAAACGTGTGGACCGACCGCTCGGCGAGCACGATGAGGATCTGGTACTCTTCCAGTACGTCGACCTGGGTGACGCCTGGCAGCGGCAGGACCTTGGTCGGTGGTCTTGCCTTTTCGCGCAGGTCCGAAAGGTAGACGCCGTCGTCGGTGCCGTAGATGATCCTGCGGCCAAAGTCGAACGGGACCGAGCAGTTGACGCGGTTCGGGCCCAGGAAGAAGCCTTCGGACAGCGTGATGGTGTCAAAGATGTTGGAGCGCTGGCGCAGGATGTCCTGGCGCGACTCGATGTGCTCAAACCACTTGCGCCGGCTCACAAACGTGCTGGCCCACAGCGTCATCGAGTAGCCCTTCTTGCCGAGGTAGGTGAAGGTGAGCGCGTAGCCCGTCTTGGCGTCTTGCTTGGGCGCCGCGGAGCCGGGGGCGCCGGTCGGCCGCGTGCCCGTCGATGTCTTGGACATGACCGACTTGGGCCGCGTGGAGCTGCCCTTGCCCGTCGGCACCTCGTCATAGACGGTGACGATGAGCAGCTCCAGCGGGATGGGCTTGCGGTAGACCTTGAATAGCTCGTGCTTGTTGACCGTCTTGGGCTTGACCATGAGCAGGGCGTGGTCAAACAGGAACACCTGCAGCTCGGCGCTCTCGCTCTGCGTGCCGCCGCGCCGCTTGAGCGGCCCTTTGAAGACCAGCTCGCGCTGCTCGTCGCGCAGCCGCAAATCGACCGCCTCGCCCTGCTTGAAGACGAGCTGCTGGTCGAGTTGCGCCAGGTTGAAGCGGTTCTCGCTCTTGCCCGTCTCGACGTTGACCTTGGTAAGGAACTCTTTGACGATCTTGATCACACGCGGGAGCGCCTGCTTGTCGGGGTTGTCATCGGCGGTGTACTTGACCACCTGTTCCAGCAGCAGCGGATATCGTGCCAGACGGGTCGTCGGCTTGGTCAGGTAGCCGTTGAGCTCGAGCTTGCGCGATTGCGGCAGCCTCTCGGTTTCCTGGCAATGGCGTCGACGCGCGAGACAGAGAGAGAGAGAAAGAGAGAGAGAT